AACTGCCAAATCGCTGCGCACGGCGCTGACGTTTTTTTAATAAATAAACAAACCTTTTAAATAAATAAATTGATGCGGACCGACACACCTGATGACGACCGTTTGTGTTATGGTCGAAACGTCGTGAGAATTTTTATTGTTTTATATATATTTTATTATTTTATTGTTTCCCTTCAACGTGACTTTACCGAAAGAGCTAAGAATATGAATTACTGCAGTCACGAAAGCTTTAAATCAAAATGCAACAGGCATGTTTAGCAGACACGTTAAAACGTGACATCCTGCTGTTATTATAGCTGGCATTGAGCAACTAGTTCCTATCATACTGCACTGGATAGAATTCACCATGAAGCAGTCAAGGTGAGTGATGGTAAATCACTTACTGATTCACTCCAGTCAATCGCTTCTGTCGCTACGACCATGTTTAGCCGTTCTAAAGAGCTTCACTCAATGATTCCTCCTCCCATGTTGAGTCTAACAGACTGAGCGTGTCGTTTCATTCTCGCTGAGTGCAACCACAGCACTATAGGCCACAACAGCAACCTCGCCCACTCATTGGCCACAATGCAGGCCACAACAACACTCTCGCCCACTCACTGACCACACTCCAGCCCACAACAACACACTCGCCCACTCACTGACCACACTCCAGGCCACAACAACATCCTCGCCCACTCACTGACCACACTTCAGCCCACAACAACACCCTCACCCACTCACTGATCACCCTACAGACCACAACAACACCCTCGCCTACTCACTGACCACACTTCAGGCCACAACAACACCCTCGCCCACTCACTCACCACACTCCAGCCCACAACTACACCCTCACCCACTCACTGATCACCCTACAGGCCACAACAACACTCTCGCCCACTCACTCACCACCCTACTGGCCACAACAACACGCTCGCCCACTCACTGATCACACTCCAGCCCACAACTACACCCTCGCCCACTCACTGATCACACTACAGGCCACAACAACACCCTCGCCCACTCACTGACCACCCTACAGGCCACAACAACACCCTTGCCCACTCACTGACTACACTTCAGGCCACAACAACACTCTCGCCCACTCACTCACCACACTTCAGGCCACAACAACACCCTCGCCCACTCACTGACCACCCTACAGGCCACAACAACACACTCACCCACTCACTCACCACCCTACAGGCCACAACAACACCCTCGCCCACTCACTCACCACACTCCAAGCCACAACAACACGCTCGCCCACTCACTCACCACACTCCAGCCCACAACAACACTCTCGCCCACTCACTCACCACACTCCAGCCCACAACAACACTCTCGCCCACTCACTCACCACCCTACAGCCCACAACAACACCCTCGCCCACTCACTGACCACACTCCAGCCCACAACAACACGCTCACCCACTCACTCACCACACTCCAGCCCACAACAACACTCTCACCCACTCACTGACCACACTCCAGGCCACAACAACACCCTCACCCACTCACTGACCACACTCCAGCCCACAACAACACCCTCGCCCACTCACTCACCACACTCCAGCCCACAACAACACTCTCGCCCACTCACTGACCACACTCCAGGCCACAAGAACACTCTCGCCCACTCACTGACCACACTCCAGCCCACAACAACACGCTCGCCCACTCACTCACCACCCTACAGCCCACAACAACACCCTCGCCCACTCACTCACCACACTCCAGGCCACAACAACACCCTCGCCCACTCACTGACCACCCTACAGGCCACAACAACACGCTCACCCACTCACTCACCACACTTCAGCCCACAACAACACCCTCGCCCACTCACTCACCACCCTACAGGCCACAACAACACCCTCGCCCACTCACTCACCACACTCCAGCCCACAACAACACTCTCGCCCACTCACTGACCACACTCCAGGCCACAAGAACACCCTCACCCACTCACTGACCACACTCCAGCCCACAACAACACGCTCACCCATTCACTCACCACCCTACAGCCCACAACAACACCCTCGCCCACTCACTGACCACCCTACAGGCCACAACAACACGCTCACCCACTCACTCACCACACTCCAGCCCACAACAACACCCTCGCCCACTCACTCACCACCCTACAGGCCACAACAACACCCTCGCCCACTCACTCACCACACTCCAGCCCACAACAACACTCTCGCCCACTCACTGACCACACTCCAGGCCACAAGAACACTCTCGCCCACTCATTGACCACACTCCAGCCCACAACAACACGCTCGCCCACTCACCACCCTACAGCCCACAACAACACCCTCGCCCACTCACTCACCACACTCCAGGCCACAACAACACCCTCGCCCACTCACTGACCACCCTACAGGCCACAACAACACGCTCACCCACTCACCACACTCCAGCCCACAACAACACCCTCGCCCACTCACTCACCACCCTACAGGCCACAACAACACCCTCGCCCACTCACTCACCACACTCCAGCCCACAACAACACTCTCGCCCACTCACTGACCACACTCCAGGCCACAAGAACACCCTCACCCACTCACTGACCACACTCCAGCCCACAACAACACGCTCACCCATTCACTCACCACCCTACAGCCCACAACAACACTCTCGCCCACTCACTGACCACACTCCAGCCCACAACAACACGCTCGCCCACTCACTGGCCGCGCTGCAGGCCACAACACCACACTCGCGTACTCACTCACCACACTCAAGCCCACAACAACACTCTCGCCCACTCACTGACCACACTCCAGCCCACAACAACACGCTCGCCCACTCACTCACCACCCTACAGCCCACAACAACACCCTCGCCCACTCACTCACCACACTCCAGCCCACAACAACACGCTCGCCCACTCACTGACCACCCTACAGGCCACAACAACACGCTCACCCACTCACTCACCACACTCCAGCCCACAACAACACCCTCGCCCACTCACTCACCACCCTACAGGCCACAACAACACCCTCGCCCACTCACTCACCACACTCCAGCCCACAACAACACTCTCGCCCACTCACTGACCACACTCCAGGCCACAAGAACACTCTCGCCCACTCATTGACCACACTCCAGCCCACAACAACACGCTCGCCCACTCACCACCCTACAGCCCACAACAACACCCTCGCCCACTCACTCACCACACTCCAGGCCACAACAACACTCTCCCACTCACTGACCACCCTACAGGCCACAACAACACTCTCACCCACTCACCACACTCCAGCCCACAACAACACCCTCGCCCACTCACTCACCACCCTACAGGCCACAACAACACCCTCGCCCACTCACTCACCACACTCCAGCCCACAACAACACTCTCGCCCACTCACTGACCACACTCCAGGCCACAAGAACACCCTCACCCACTCACTGACCACACTCCAGCCCACAACAACACGCTCACCCATTCACTCACCACCCTACAGCCCACAACAACACTCTCGCCCACTCACTGACCACACTCCAGCCCACAACAACACGCTCGCCCACTCACTGGCCGCGCTGCAGGCCACAACACCACACTCGCGTACTCACTGGCCACACTGCAGGTCACAACTTATTCTCGTACGGCCTCTTCCCCTCGGGCTGCTCTACTCTGGAATTCCCTCCCAGCGTATCTTTCCCAAAGTTCTCATAACCCTTTTCGATTCAAGACACCCACTAGCTCATGCCTGCTACACCTTAAATAGTGCTGATTGTTGCCGTCCACTTGGTCCTGTGCTGGCTGCTATCGATTTTAAAAGAAAATATGCCCGTGGCAGCTTTTTTACCTCCGATCAGCTGTGAACGAACCTGTTCTCCTGCAAACGATGACAACCTTCACAGTTGGCAGGCTACGCACCTTACGTGTGCGGAGGCGTTAGGGTTTTTGTTAAAAAAAAAAACCCTACGAGCGTTTACATTTTCACTCCACTCCGCTTTCAACCTGGCCAAAAAGTGAGACTGGCACGGTGGATTTGCGTACTGCGCTACGAACCCGGCAATCCGAGTTACATTCCGGACTATGGCCAACAACAGTGGCGAGTGACATCCGAATTAATTCTGGGCAATCCCACGCTGACCAGCATGGACAAACAACCCGCGCGGACGACACGGAGCACGGCAAGGCCTTCCAGCCGGGGACTGATTGGAAATTAGTCAAATAAAACGAATGTTTATCGGCGATGGGAAAGGGGCGGGGAGAAAGCTGGCGAGGATCATCTGACGCCTCGTGGTCACTTCACCACCCACTTCTCCTGTGGCTCAGCTGTCCGCACCGCGCTCGCCACACGGGCCCAACCGCCCCACCCGTGCTGCCGCTAATTCAACTCACAGCTGCCACCAGATGCCAGTTGAGGAAGAAGGTACACTGTGTGGTCAGCGTGGGATGGCTATGCATGTGTGTATGTTAAAATGATATCGCACTGTACGTAGCCAACCGTGCTAATCGGAGGTGCGGGGGAAGAACAGCACACTAAGCACAAATCTTGATTTAAATGTGCATAGCTCCAGTGTTTTTTTTATATATATCAGATGGCTGCAAGGGCAAAAAGCTATGCCTGCTGTGGGAATGTTCTTGAGCAGACACCTCAGATGTTAATGAGGGGAAAAAAAACTAATTTTACGCGGCTCATTTTACGTGAAAAATATAATGCTTGAGGGAATGTGCCATGAAGCAGCTTAGTTTGACACACAGACGATCTGGTTTTGAATCCTTCCCGCAGGCTTAGTGTCTCTTCACCGAGCGATGGCATTTCTACTTAATTAACAAATATTAGTGAGAGTGCAAAGGGCACCACGAGCAGAACACATGACTGGCATCGTGCCCTCTGATGGCACCAATCTGACTTTAAAAATAAGGTAATTTATTTCACAAACAATTGCAAATCCCTCTCCCCCGCCCCACCCAAAAACATACGGTATTTTAGCCTCCCCACTCGCACAATTTAACCCGGTGGTGCCTTGCGGCTGGGGGAACCTCACCGGCGTTGACGAGCAGCACAGCGGGCGATGCCGCGTGGCCCACGTCGAGGCGGTCGTTGCCGTCGCGGTACCAGGCGATGACCACGGGCTCCGGGGGCCCCACGGCCACGCACGTCAGGTTGAAGGGCTCGCCGGACAGCACGCTCGTCTCCCGCGGCTCCTGCGTGAAGCTGGGCAGGCCTGGCGGGGGATAGCAACGTCGTCGTCGTCATTATCGTTGTCGTCGTGATAGCAACGTCATTGTCGTCATCGTCATCATCGTCATCGTGATAGCAACGTCGTCGTCGTGATCATTTCATATTCCTAGTGAGCACCCGCCCCCCACCACGCCTCCGACCCACCAACGAAGCAGTACAGCTTGAGACACCAGAGCAAAGGGGTATTCGAGATACTTACTCAGTAAGGAAGCGATTGCAGACCAAATACGATGGGCAACAACCGTATGACGTAGGCAACACGCACAACAAGCGGGAGAACGAAATCTAGTCGTTGCTGTGTTTTATACACTTCATTTCAGCTATCTTAAAGTGCGTTCATTTTCACCTCAGGTTAATGAACTGTGGGTGCACTTATGATATTTCTGGGCAAGCTGTTCCACGATCTTTCGTGCCAAAATACCAAGGACTCACTCACTTTTTCAAAAGAAGACCTTCGCTTTACAGTGACCTTTCGAGAAAATGAAAATCACACAGTCTATTTGAGAAGATGTACTGGATAGAGGCACCCACACCGCTCTGCTACTCGGAAAGAGGTGAGACAAAGTGCTCCCAAGTATGGTCAAACAATAACCCACATTGTCACGGCAATGGCGTAAAGAGGCCTTCATTCAGCAGTGGATAGATAGTGGCTGGTGACGATGATGACAGTGATTCGTCTCAATGGAAACAAAACGTCTGAATTTCCAGAGCATAGCAAGAGACAGGAGCGTTAAACTGTGTTGAGGTTCACGGTTTTTAATGGGTCTCGGTATATTAAATATGTCTCTGCGGAGCGTGCATGCTGAGTTTGAAATTGAACGTCCGTAGGGGGGGCGGGGACGCTGACTTAATTTGCGAGGCCCTCGGTACGCGCCGTCTTTCAGAGTCAATTCGTCACCCCCCGCCCCTGCCGCCCCCCCGCCCCGAGCCAGTGGCCAGGGGGTTTATATCGCAAAGTGCCAGGAAGCGCTCTCATTGCAACGACGAGGCCCACCCCCCGCTGGAATAGTGGTGAGTGCCCAGCAGCTGAGTAAACGCGGTCGTTCACGGTGACTTCAGAGAGGAGCTCGTGGGTCGCGCTGATAAGACCCCACTGAGCTACGTAGCTCTTTTGAGGAAGCGACCTGGCCATCACAAATGATTGCCAAATACTCCAAATGCGCGACGTTGACTCTAAATGTGGAGGGAAAAACAGGAGGACCCGGAGAAAAATTCACGCGACCATGGGGAGAGGAGAGGTAGTGAACGTCTCGCCATCACGGGTGGCGAGACGATAGGAGGGAATCCCACGGTTTTGAGCAGCGCGAGGGAATTGGCCGAGAGTCGGTCGCTCGATTGGCCTCGCGAGCGAGCGAGCGAGCGAGCAGCAGCACTGGGCCGCGAGCGTGGAGCGGCGCCTGGCTCGTACCTTCCACCATGAGCCAGCCCTCATCGGAAAGCTCCTCCTCCCCCGACTCCCCGGCCACGCACTGGTAGCGACCAACCAGGGCCCTCTGCACTGACGTGATCCTGCAACCAAGGGTGAGAACACGCCACACCGCGTCACGTGACGGCAGACCGTATTCCTTGTTATTGTTTGTCTGTTTGTTGTAGCTTTTGACCCGACTCCTTACTGGACATCTCTGAAAAGGAGATTCATAGCTCATCGAATTTCTCCAGGACAATATAAATATTCTGATACCGGATCCCGCGGTACATCACACTGAGAATCACGCCAAAACGCACCGCGGCACCCAAAAGCACGTCAGAGATTAGATGGCCCATCGTATTGGGGCACCTACACCCTTACCACAGCTGGCTCAGTTAATAGGCATTTACCCGCCACTTGGGGCCTGCATGGCTATACGGAGTTTGTGTGGCTCACCGAGTCTACATTCCCAACTTATCTTCGAACGAGATCGGGCGCATTAAGGGTCATTTGGTCATGAGCCGTAACTTAACGAACTCCCCTTGTGCCAGGACACTCGAACGCAAGACGCAATGTTGGTCTATTTGTAAACAAGCTGAACGCAGATTAAAAAGAGGGGCCATGGCCCTAATTTGCATGAATAAATATTAAAGCGCTAAAAGAGGCTTTTATGAATCGTGCGAGCGAGAGCGATAGGGAGAGTGGTGAGGAGAGTGATGAAAAGTTATTTTATTTTGCTTAGATAAGCGACTCCAGGCCACGCAGATGCAAGCGTAGTTCGTATTTATCTTTGTCTCATTATCATCCCGCCAATCTTTATGCAAACATTAAAACGCTTCGCAGAACTGAAAACCACCGCTACCACTCCACTCACGCCGCAAATGGTCGTATGCTTGTGGAAATTAATTCTCCGCAAAAAGAAACATAACATTTCCTCCAATACGTTACTATGTATAGCCTTTCCATGGAACGGTTCAAGAAGATGAAAAAAATCTTGTGCGAGAAGCCAGCCGCTTCCAAGAAATGCGTAAATTCCACAGAGCCTGCATTTTGGAAATCCTGCCACTTTCATCACACGCTCCCGAGTGGGCGCCTTCGGCCCTGCCGCCTGTTTTCGTCGCCTCGTACCCCTTTTTCCACTGGCACATCTGAGCCAAGCCAGCTCGGGTCCCTCCCGTTACAGGTGGTTTTCCACCGGCTACTTGCCGTGCCAAATGGGAAGCAAAACTCTGCTAAGCTAGCCTCACAATTTATGTATGCATTTTGAACTGCTTTCGCACCATAGATAACCAACCGCGTTAACCGGAGGTGCGGGGGAAAGACAAGAAAACACGAGACATCTAAACGTGGCTCGGGGCCGAGCCGGGCCAGGTATGAGACGAACGGCGCGTTCATTGCGTGCGTCGTCAGTCAGCACACTGCGAGCGTCACTGCATCATCTACACGTGCCTCTCTTCGTTTGTTTGCGTGTGACCTAAGTGGCGCGGTTTGGCTTCTGAAGTGGAAAAGTAACCTCGCGCGTCCTGAGCTGTGCTGGGTTGGCTCGGTTAAACTAGTGGCTTGCAACCTCTTTTGGCTCCTGTACCCCTTGTTGAATTTTGTTTTGCCCGACCTAACATGGTTCTGAGAAATAAATGTACGAATAATGAACATCAATATTTTAACCAATTGTAAAAATGTTTAGGTATCATAACAAGCGAGGGACTTGAAGAGAATAAATAAAGAGTCAACGGACGCTCTGCGTGCATGACACAATTTGTTCATGCTCACTGGTTACTCTTGGAAACCACATTGTTGACGATAAATGAGTTTAGAAAGCTCTTTCATATCGTTCTAGATTACCATATGAATTTCAATGTTATCGTAGTTATTTTATTTTGGCAGATTCATACATGATTATTCACCAGTGACTCTCACGTATGTTACAATTTCACACATGCATAAATCACCTCACGTACCCCCTGGGACATTGCCACGTACCCCCCAGGGGGGCCCACGTACCACCCCCCCCCCCCACCCCCCCGGTTGAGAACCACTGGGGGGGTTTGACAGTGGAAATCAGGTCGAAGAAACGTACGAGGTATTGCCGGGCGTCTGTTTGGGGGTCACTGTGACCCCAACCGTGGGAACGTGCCCTTGCTGCCACGGTTGCATGCTGCGCCCGGCCAAGCATCGGGCTTTCTCCGTGCCTGCACGGTCCGAGGCCGCGCACGTGGGAATGAGCGCGTGGCCAATCACGTGGGAGCAGTGAGTGGGTCTTATAAACAAACCGCGTAGGGGTGCATTGCACTCGCGTGTAAGGAATACGTTGAGAGGCCTCTGACGATATACAATTATAATACGCGTGGACGCACAATGCCGTGGCGTCTCAAGAAGCCGTAGAGAAAACTGTGGATGTGTTTTGTAGAGCGAGGCGGTCTGGCATAGGCAGAGGAGAAGGGGGATGGTGTTGAGCTTTAACTTGAACAGGGGCAGGGAGTTTGACAGCACGGATGGTAGGGGAAAGGGCACTTTCAGACAAGTGGAGCAACAAAGGAGAATGAGCGACCTCCCACCGAGTGCAAATTTACTGCCTGCTTAACCGAGCCTCTCTGGGGTGTGCTAAGAACAGATCCTACGATCCAGATTCCAGACCGTCAGTGGAAATAATTCCTGATATCCACACAGTTATCCACAGATAAATATGGATCATTGAATGAACTCGCTGCCAATTCTGGATGACGAACTGAGGAGGCCTTCATCCAGCAGTGGACTGACCATGGCTGGCGGTGATGATGTTATTGCAAGTTACCCTTTCCTAGCCAGCCCTGTCATCTCGGTCACGTGGTTAGTATCAGGCGGACTTTCTTTGGCTGCTCTATCCCCCCCCAACCACTGCTCCGTGCTCCGAATGATCGCACGGGGTGGAGAAACAACTCCCAGGCGACACGAGGAGCTGCTCTCGTTACGAGCGCGGCTTAGAAAAGACGCAGCAGCGGGCATGGATCTGCAACTCAAGCGCGGTGGCGACAATAACCACATTCTGTCCCGCCGAGGATTATTCGCTGGCAACTGTAGAGCAAGGTTATTCAAGTGCAGAATGGGAAAAGAAAAAAAAAAGCATTCTCTCCGTCCGAAAACACGAAAACACGTGCTGTGTCCAGCCAGGTTTTTTTCTTTCTTCTACTCATTATTTTGCTTGCAGCTACGATCATCCGTGGCGATTACCGAATGAGTGCAAACTGCCCATGTGTTTTTGATATCAGAGACTCGTAACGACTGACGATGTAGCGCAATAGCTACTGGCGATGTAGCACAGTAAGCAAGGGCGGTTTACTGCATTGGGTCACCCCTTCCCAGCTTTGGGAGTGATTCAATAGAGTTGTCACGATTCGAGTCAAAAATCAGTTGTTGTGTTCGTTGTTGCTCACCTCGTTGTTCCTCACCTCGTTTTTGCTCAACTGATTTTTCCTCACCTCGTTTGGCTCACCTGGTTTTTGCTCACCTCGTTATAGCTCACCTCGTTTTGCTCACCTCGTTTTTTGATAACCTCGTTTTTGCTCACCTCGTTTTTGCTCACCTCGCTTTTGCTCACCTCGTCTGCAAGGTTCCTCATTTGTTCTGCCTTGCCCGCCACTGTCTTGCTTGCTCCCTTAGCCTAAATGTCATGTGAGGACATCATTTGCACTTACATCGTATACTCCGGATTGCAACGCGCTTAAAAAAAGCAGCGCGTTGCCTCCAAGCTTTTTGCTTTGAAACACAGGGAAAGAAGCGCGTCTTCATCGAGAGAATACGGTGACATGCAAAAAGTGTCGCCCTCTTGCTAACCCACCGCTGCATGAGTGATTCACCATGTCTGTGCAAGTCGCGAGGCTTGTTTGACCATACTTCAGCGTGCCGGTACGTTGCGGGTTGGTGAAGGCGTGGAGCATAGACGTGGAAGCAATGAAGCCCTATGACAACCTGTTGGCACGTGGCGGTCACCCATCCGAGCACTATCCAGGCTGAAACCTGGTTAGCGGGACGAGATCTGACGAGATTGGGCGCATTCTGGGTGATTTGGGCATAGGCAGTGCCGGGTTAAGCTAGTGCGGGGCCTGTAGCATGTGTTATAAAGGGGGCCCTATGTTAAAAATTTAAAACACGTTAATATTTTAAAAATATATTTTACTTGCATAGTAAAGTTATTGTATTATTTCATTTTCTATACAGCCATATAATACGACAAATCCCTAACCTTAAAACCCAGTCGTTCATAAAAGTTCAAGGCAGTATAGTACTATAGTAATAGAGCAAGTGCAGAATCACTGAAGCGGAATTGATAGCTTGAAGGCATTTAGCGCGGGGCCCTTGAAAGTGCGGGGCCCGTAGCATATGCCACTTTTGCTACTAGGATAATCCGACACTGCGCATAGGCACGTGATAGTGAATATAATTTGCATAATCATCAAAATTACATATGTGCAGAAAACGTTGGAATTCATTGCGTGTATCGTGAGTGTAAGAATATGTTATTCGGTGCATAATAATTGTTTTGACAGTGAATGCAGTATTTGAACCGCATCGGGATTATCAGCATAGTTACGGGCTTAGTGGTGCTCAGGTCAGAGGGAGCCAACTATGCACGTCTAACCCTTCGACTCAGCCAATGCCCGCGCTGAGCGTAAAGAAATTGCGCAATCGCTCAAAGGGCCCGTTGTTCTTGAAAAAAAATAAACATGCAGTTCATCAATTATCAGCTCGAAATCGAATACTGATATATGTAAAAAAAAGCCAATTAATCTCTCTCATCCCTGTCTTGTCCATCTTTCTTCTCTCTTCGAATTTCACCTTCGTATCTTGTCTACGTTATATTTCACTACAACCTCTCCCCGCAGTGCATCTCAATCTCGTGCTTATATCTTTAATCTCACACAAGACGTTAATAAAACGAAAGGAGAGGTAAGGGTGGGGGGCCAAAATACTTCCTGCTCAGGGACCCCAAATGAGTCAGCACCACCACCACTGCTTCTATCGCAAGAGTTAATTTCGCAGAGTGTGTACATTGCGGCTGTCACTGCGGGGCGTGGGTGGACGGCCATAAAACGATTTAGGCGCGTTGCGTCACTGGACGGAGGCGACGGCCATTGAACGCTGTCACGCTGAACCTGCTATAACAAACTCCTCGGGGCTGAGTCTTCTGCCTTGACTTGTGCTCATAAGCCCAAGAGGCATAACCCATTAATGTCAATAAACCAAACTTGACCGATGGTCAAGAATAATAACGGAGTGGCGGCTGAGGAATGGAACGCGTCCGAGAGGGCGCGCACCGAGGAGATGGAGGCTTTCATCCAGCAGTGGATTGACCGTGGCCGATGATGATGACGAAACCAAAATACATGCCACATGCTTATTTGTGTTGGTTTTAATAATAATCATAACAATAATCAGAATAAAAAACGATCCTTTCATGATCGAGGAAGAGGAGGTTGTGATGGGTGGGACACGTGTGCAGGGTTGAGGAGGGCAGGTTACCGAGATGGGCATTAGAAAGCCAGAGGTCAGAGACAAAGAAGACCTAAACCCAGATGGTGGTAGTGCCGATATTGCAAGTGTGGACCTTGGATGTCTGTTGCCAGCGTGGAGGCTTCAGTGACACTGGCCACGATGACCTTTTGAATTATCCATGAAAAGCCTAAGTCAAAATTATCATTCCTAAAGTGGCTCCTGCCTAGTAAATTGGATAAGTTTCTTAATTAGTATTCTATTGTTTCTTTATTCGCTATGTTTTCGTTTTGGTCTACGTAGCATCTGCATTTATTTATTTATTTTTAAGTGGGTCACTGGTTAGTCATTCCTCACGCATTCATCACAAAGAACCACCAACCGCAGCCAAGTAAGCTTTCACTGCGCAGATATACCACATCTGCCGTCCACAACAACCCACAGAGTATTATGTTTTCATTTCGAAAAAAATTCCGCGGCTTCGGAGGCGACAGCTTTCCAGACACCAGCGTTTGCCCGGTAGGTCCGTAACTCTTACATGAGTGCAGGTGTCCAGATATGTCATATTTTGTAGTAATGCTTTCTCAACCACAGTCCACCCCGCGCAAGCTTTTCCCAACATAGCCACATTCTCTACGAATCCATACGTTGCGTGTCCGTCCACAGGAGGGGCACGGGTAATGATGACTCACGCGGATTTATAACCCTATCGGCTTGTTTTGACTCTGTTGGACTAAATCAAAGGGTACAGCTATTCACACTTGGTATGTGTGTGTTGGGTTCCCAATTAACAAACATTACTGGACACTGCCAATGACCATATCAACTGGAATGCGGCCCATCGGATTCTTAGGATTTTTCAAAAAATCCTAAACACATTTCCACTATATGAGCCACCCCCCATCCCCTCCGCTTAGAAGATAGAGGCTTCTCGCCGTGTGAGGCATTCCTGTACATTTTATTACATGTAAGATGCTCTCAGGCACTTTGACTCATGTGAAGGACACCAAATTCATATAAATAAAAGCATGTATGAGTATAACTCCATTCTATATCATCACACATCGATTTCATTCCATAGGCTTATTGGCTTTCCACTTTCCAGACCAATACTATCAAGCAGAATTTATTTAAGAAAGGCAAACTCTGGACCACTTTCAACCTCCTTGGTCTCACCAGCAGTCATACTTGTTATACAATTGCTGCTCGATTACAAAATGTGATTGGCAGTGCTAAATTGCAGTCAGAACAGTCTGAAATGCTATTCTAGAAATAGGTATTCAATGAAAACCACACTGAAAACAACAGTTAGTCCATGCATCTATCTCTTTATAAACCTGGTCATAGGATTTAAGGAATATAGGGTACAATCATAGAAAATTATTATTATTTATAGGTGTACCATTGGACTAATACCTTCCACTAATAATGCCTGCACCGAGCCCGAACGTTGGTATCACGTGTTCCGGGAGATATCGAGTGAGGATCGGTGGCGGTGGCTAAACGCGTCGCCTGTAATCCGGCACTGTGGGGGCAGCGAGGGTTGGTGGAGGGGGGCTTGTGAGGGGGGGGGGCAGCTTATGTTAGGGAGGGCTTGTGGGGGAGGGTTTGTAAGGGGGGGGGGGCTGGTGGGAAGGGGGCTGGTGGGGAGGGGGGCTGGTGGTGAGGGGGGGGGCCTTGTGGAGGAGTGCTTGTAAGGAGGAGAGCTGGTGGGGAGGGGGGGGCTTGTAGGGGGGCTGCTGGTGGGAGGGGCGTGTGCGTACTTGAGCGAGCTCTTGAGCTGCACGTGCTGGCGCTCCACACTGGACACGGCATAGTCGTGTGTGCTGAAGTGGGCGCCCAGCTTCCCCTCCGGGAGGTTCTCGCCGTTGTGGAGCCAGCGGATGGGAGGGTGGCCCGGGCTCTTCACCAGGCAGCTGAGCGTCACCTCGGAGCCCACCGCCACCGTCACGTTGCGCGGGCTCTCGCTGAACACAAGCCCTGCGGGGGTGGGAGGGGGGCGCGGGGGGGTGAGGAAACGCGGGACAGCGGTTTGGAGATGACACCTTTTGAGCAACAACAAAAAATATCTGCACGAAAAAAATCCATGACATATCATAGGAAGATGAATATCTTGCAATGCGGGCTTCCCTCACTTTACTCGGTAGATGCGTTTCCAAGAGAAGGACGCACAACCAAGAGAAGGACGCGTGCGTAAAGCGAGGGAAACCCGTACGAGAAAAAGGGGAGAACTACACATTCACGCATTGTCATGAGCAGTGTATTATTACGCAGAAATCCTTGTATGTTAATGTCACAGATTTTCCAGGACAGCAACCCCATTAAGAAGATGATCATGCTAGCCCCGGACTCATCCTGCACTCGGCGGTCAGGGTACGTACTTTCTTTCTAGAACCGTGTAAGAGCCCGTTGAAAAAGTGTCAAATTTTTTGTGCGACCTGGGAGGAAAACACTTATGAAAATATAAGCGCAAGATAATCGAGGTACGAACTCGGTGCGGGACAGAGTAATCTCAGCGCAGACAAAACACGTGGGGAAAGTGGTTTTAATGCAAAGGGCAATTTACTATTTATTTACATTGACAGGCATCAGTCAAGGTGACCTGTCATCTGGCACGTTACTTCATTTCATTAAAAATATTCAAATGTGTTCAAAAGGCAAAGAACAGTCGTTGATAAACCCACGTCTGCACATGTACACCGGTGCAGACGTGGGCGTTTCAAAACGTTCTGGCTAAATTCACAGACCCATTCCAATTCAGAAAAAAATAATCAGCTTCATATTTCGGTTGCCAAGTGGGTAAATCATTAATGGAACCATCTAGTACAAAAACATATTTAAAATTGAATAACTAAGCCTCTGGCTACATCGTACAACACTCTAAATGCAAAAACACATGTCCTCGAACATGACCACACTTCGTTACTTCTAAACCGTGTTTACAAAAATCCACAAAGCAGGGCTTCTCACTTTTATTTCTCCTCCTGCATAGTGCTGGGTTTTTTGTTACACTGGCCGTGTGCTTCTCAGCGGGTTGAGCGAGTGCTAGAGCGAACGGCTCGTGATCGAAAGGAAGGTTGTGAGTTCAAGTCCTGGTTCGTGAGTTGACTCAGCCCATCATCCCGCGGGAGTCGACGGATATGTTGTAAGACTTTATGGGGAAGTCACAACGGTGGTCGTCCTATGCTGAGACTCGCCCCCGCCATGTTAATGGGGAATTTCCAATGCGATCTCAGGGCTGTGAACAGGAGAGGAGCACCAATGTCTCAATGCTCGCTTGAAGTTCTTTTTACACAAAAATACAGACTGTATAAGTACGTACTGCAGTTTTAATAACTTGATTGAGGCATGTTTGCTGACGGGTGCAAGTCCATGCCCTGTGGGATTATTAGTTTTAGTAGCCTATGGAAAGATTATAATCTAACTAGCTTGTACATCACAATACAGCCATCTCAGTCAGTCAACCGATGGAACCTGGGTCTGTCCCGTGACCTCCTGCCAGTGGGCATTCGACACTTCACGTGGCCTTATAGTGCACATAGCCTGGCACAAGCGCCGTGGTGACGTCACCCCCACTTCGTGGTGAGTTGCGTTTGTTGTTGTATAAACTAAATAGAATTGGGGAACGGGGTTAACGGGTTGTCTTCGAGTAGAGGGCACTACGTACGACGACAACAACTGTAGTTTAACACGTAGGCTTTCGCGACCAATATTCATAATAGAGGTTTTTGGGTTAGATCTCGTAAGTATAAATGTGGCGAAACCCTCCACCACCCGACACGGCCAATCAGTAAGGGATTTGTCACGTAAACAAAACTGATTGACCAATCATTGTCCTTGAAACTGATCGACCAATCAGTTTCAAGGACAATGCATATATTATCATGGTATGTTTTTTGTTTGCATTTTGACTGCAGGTATTGTGGCTAATGCCGACATGAATCTTTGTAAAAAAAGGTTTCAGTTTTGTTGCCAGAAAAAAGGGGAAAAACCCTATTATTACATTTTGGTACTGGCAAAGGAGGTCTAATGATGAACCAAAAACCTCTATTATGAACAACTGCAGTTTCACTTCCGAACGCGTCTGAATCCAAACTGCGTCTAATGACGACCAAACCTCACGCATTACAACCATTCGGAACAAAGAAGTTAAATGAGAAAAAAACAATGACACAATTCCCGTCTATTTTTATAAATGTTGTTCCAACATCGCATTAGCGAAACGGATGTGCGGCGATAACTTGTATGGAAAGAGGAAACCCTTGTTTGGAAGTTCGCCAGTCACGGGAGAGGTTTGGACAGGAAGGGTTCCACAATGAACTGCACTGGAATGTATCACGCAAGCACCGCGCAACGCTATCAGCGTCGCCACCGACGTTTAACGAAAGGGTTGACGCAGGATCTTCAGCGGGCATTCTTCCTCCTGCATATTGAGAGGGGGGTGATCAGCAACGTCTTGACGCTTGTGTCGAGGGTAGTTGCCGAGGCAGCGGGCGGCTTCAGGAGTAGCCTGATACGTCCCTCGCTGCCGGCGAATGATCCAAACGGGCAGTGGCGTTGACTACGTGGTCCAACGTTTGAGATCGGCGGCCACCACGTAAGGATGTGTAGAGTAATATCGACTGCCAGTCGGACGACACGTGCACCGAATTGCACGGCTAAAGAAGCGGTGGATTTCTCTCTCTCTCCACGATTCGAATGTTGCCTCAAGATGGACCATTGCCCAAAAAGTTGCCTATTATCTACTTTTTCTTTCAAAGGTCAGACTGTTGTCGACGAATGTATTGGATTTTCTGCAATGGAATCGAGTGAATCCTGGAGGGGGGAGGCACCGGTGGCTGCTACATTCGCCGAAATTTTGGTTTTGAAAAATGGAAGAGACTCCAATAAGAGACTTCCTTAGGTCTGAGAGTTGATAAAATAGTGCATTCAGGAATCCCATGGCTTTAGCGTTCATCTCGAGTTCAGATGTTATGATTAGAGTTCGGGGTTAGGGTCTAGAGTTACTGTTCAGGGGTTAAGGTTGGGGTTTAGGATATTTTTTATGGTCTGTTAAAATGGTTTAGGCATTAGGGTTAGGGTTAGGGTCGGACGGTGGGTGCTTTAGAAAATATTTGCCACAATTCTACGGGAGGCAGTGGCCTCAGCCTAAGGGAATCCGTTCTTTAATCGAATCGCGGCACTGAATCGCGCCAATTCATCGATTAGTCCGGGGGGGGGGGGGGAGGGGGAAAGGGTCGAGGGGAATCACAGCACCTATAGCAGAGATCATTTACAGCAGGCAAAAGTGCAGCAAATTAGTCACTCACATGTCCACACTCAAGCAACTGGGGAGAACAGGTACAACAAAACACTACAAAGTATCAATTTAGATTTAAAGCTTTCGTGACTGCAGGGATTCATATTCTTGGTTCTTTCGGTAATGTCACGTAGAAGGGAAACGATAAAATAATAAAAATATAAAACAATAAAATTCTCACGACGTTTCGACTGCAACACAAGCAATCATCATCAGGAGTAAAAACCACAGCAAGAAAATTTTGAAAAAAGTGGCGGGTTTTTTTTTACGTGAAAAATAAAACCGCCACTTTTTCAAATTTTTCTTGCTGTGGTTTTCACACCTGATGATGATTGCTTGTGTTGCAGTCGAAACGTCGTGAGAATTGTATTGTTTTATATTTGTATTATTGTATTGTTTCCCTTCTACGTGACTTTACCGAAAGAACCAAGAATACTACAAAGTATGTTTACTCGCTGGGCTTGCCAATTAACTCCAGGAAATGCCACATGCAGTCGTCACCCAGGGTGGGCAGTGCAATGAATACACCGGCACACAGTGGGCACCTTTGCCTGCCACAGAATGAACTGGAACGAGCCCTATTGGGTCAGATCTCAGAAGCTTAGCGGGTTTGAGCCTGCAAAAGTGCTTGGACATGCGACCGCCGTGCAAAAAGCGGCAGGTGCTGTAAGGCTACTTACGGGACCACGTTGCCAACGGGGTGCGCTGCAGACATAAAATCGTGATTGCACCGTGCTAGGCTCCCCACCTTCAGCAACCCTGCATGGTGAAGTATGGCCAGATTTAGCCCATGACTCACATGGCGTGGGGAGCAGTGGATTGACAAAAGGTCTGTACACATAGATAAACGGTATGTTTATTTGCTGTGTGGGGTGTGTGTGTGTGTGTGTGCTTACGGGAACGATACGTTATTTTTGTCCCACGGCATATAATTAGGGAATGAAGGACGGTTTGTCGTTCGACTAGTGCCACATCGAGACAGCTGCCACGGGGGGTTCCCCTCGGCAATACTGCAGCAGGACATTGGAACGGTTGCGATGAGATGTGACATAAGCCGCTTTAAGTTGCTGGGGTATATCAGCGCTCCCACACGCGTATATCCTTATTGTTACGGAGAAATGTCACGAAAACCCACAAGAGCGATGCGCTGTGTCCTGCAGTGCCTTGGAAGAAGGTCCGTTACATGTACAATTGTTCACGTACCGTGCCATCCTCCTGAGATGTGCAGGCTCATGCTGGCCACATTAAAACTACTAAACTATTTTCTATTTTACCAGGTAGGGCCCACTGAGCTACAGTGAGGGAAAAAAGTATTTGATCCCCTACTGATTTTGTACGTTTGCCCACTGACAAATAAATGATCAGTCTATAATTTTAACGGTAGGTTTATTTGAACAGTGAGAGACAGAATAACAACAACAAAATCCAGAAAAACGCATGTCAAAAATGTTATAAATTGAATTGCATTTTAATGAGGGAAATAAGTATTTGACCCCCTCTCAATCAGAAAGATTTCTGGCTCCCAGGTGTCTTTCATACAGGTAATGAGCTGAGATTAGGAGCACACTCTTAAAGGGAGTGCTCCTAATCTCAGCTTGTTACCTGTATAAAAGGCGCCTGTCCACAGAAGCAATCAATCAATCAGATTCCAAACTCTCCACCATGGCCAAGACCAACGAGA